GGATGGATGGATGGATGGATAGATGGATAGATAGATAGATAGATAGATAGATAGATAGATAGATAATGTTTTTTAATGGCAACTTGAAAGAACTCAAGAATTGATCCCAGGAGGCCACCTCCTATGAGCATATCATCTGTACCATTACAAGCTATAAAATCTTTTGCATTGAAAGGAGTGACTCTGCTTAGGATATCATGAGGGGGTATGGTCCAGTTCTATCTGAGATTGTCTGCTTGTCCACCTGGGCAAGTTAAGGTACCCACTTTGAGGGAAGGGAGACATACTTTACTGCTATCCCATGCAATGTCTCTTAAACATTGGTATAAATACCATGGAAGGGATGCAGGAGCATCTCGGTGGAATGCAAAGCTGCACTTCCCCAGATATGTGAGAAGGCAAGCCCCCTTGCAGCCTTTCAGTTCAGTTCTCACACGCTGCAGACATTTTGAGCCTGGAGCAACTACTGGCCCAGCTCTCTGCTTTCATTCTCCATCTGCACTGGCCAAAGAGCAGAAAAGGAAGGCCTGCCTCTGAACATCCAAGCAGAAGGCCCAGATGGTGAGCCTGTACTGAAACCCACAAGCTTAGTAAAGGAGATGCTAAATGCTGGGCACCTGATCTCTATCCATCAAATTGGTTTTTTTCACAGTCCAGGTAGATCATCAAGCATCTACTTTCCATCTTTATTCTGCTGCTATGTACATAAAAGGGTTAAGGCTGGAATACCCAAAGGTCACTCCTTTTGAGATTCTCCATGCTAATTACCCACAGTATTTTTTTTTTCAATCACTCTGGAAAATTCTGGGTCCTTCTGATAGATATATCATGGGTTTGGGAGTTCTTTGAGCTTGCTTCTCTTCCTGCCTACATTTCATTACAGTACCAGGCTAGGTAACATCATCAGTGCAGGGGGGAGTGGACTTTGCTGGCTGGTTATAGATGGTAGCTTGTTTTCCCAGCCTTGACTGGGGCCTTGTTTCTTCCTTGACCGCCTTTTGGGTGGGGTACTTTTTCTCCTTTGAACTTGTTTATCTAGTTCTGGTTCCTGCTTATCTGTGTATTGGTTGATACTGGTTGAGGAAGGGTGTGTGAGGATGTTTGCCTCTTTCCTTGGTCTTTGATCACTTCCTTTCTTGAATGGTCTGTTGATGGAGCTTATTTTAATGTGTCAGTGGCTGATTCGTCAGAGTGCCACACCGCTAGGAATTCCCTTGCATTTTGGGAACAGCTTGGTCTAAGATGGCTATAGTTTCTCAGCTGAAATTGTAACTGACCTTGTCTTGAATCTGGTTGATAATAGATCATGTAAATTCTTGCTTATTGTTCTTTTTTTTTTCTCTCTCTCTCTCTCCCTACGACTGCCTGTCTTTTGTCCCATTTTTGCCAGTGAAAAGTTCTTGATGTTTGCTGATATTTAATCAATAAACATCAAGCTATACTTTTGCTAGCTGAACTGAGTTGCATGTGTGTTTGCTATGCTCTGGATAAAGGAATTGAGTGGGAGTATGCTGGTGCAAACTAAATTGGAAATTATCCACAATCATTTTCCAATCCTAACTAAATAGTTTAATTAAAGTGAGTGTATTGCTTTGATCTGGGTGTAGTTGCCTTTTTTCTGTAGTTCCCTTTCACTAATAAACAACCCTTCCTTCCTTCCTTCCTTCCTTCCTTCCTTCCTTCCTTCCTTCCTTCCTTCCTTCCTCTACTAACAAGGAAGGGAAATCTGGGCTTCTGGAATTCCTCCCATCTCCTTTCCCAGCTGTGGCCACAACACCCACTGTATTTTTTTTCTGCATTATGGAATAACCTGTTGTGTCAGTCTGTATATGCGTGGGGCATTGGGAAGCCCAGGGTGGACAGGATAAGGCCAGATGGACCCCCCAAATTATCTGTAAAGCAGCTTCATACATACGTACATACATACATGCTATTTTGAGCAGCAGCTAAACATTCTCAGTGTTGTATGCTCCCTCCAGCCTAATGGAAAAACTCAGTAATACTTACTGCAAAGGACAACAGCGGTGAAGATTAAAAGCCTCAACATGGCGAATGAGTGCTTGTTGCCCTGGGGTTACAGCTCCTTTTATACTCAGGAATCCAAGGTGTTCCACATAGTCTCCTTTAATCCAGCCATTCTTGGTGAAGATGGGAAGAAGCACAGCTGCCTTGGAAACACAAACACTAAGTGGCCTTGCACCTTTCCATGGACCTTGGCCCATACATTTCTATTTACTCTCTGTTCTATGAAGGATGAACTTGAGAAGTCCACTGGATTAACCGGAGTTGCATATTTTCTTTGGAACAGAAGCAAGGCTGGAGTTCACATCAGGAAAATGACTGGCTAACATTTTAGGATTCTGCAAGGAAAACAACCGTGTCATTCTTTGGGCGCTATTACAGTAGATAACATATTGATATTAATATTATTGCTAGGTGACCTTGGGCCAGTCTCTCTCTCCCAGCCCCAGGAAGCAGGCAATGGCAAACCACTTCTGAAATCTTGCCAAGACAGCTGCAGGGACTAGGCCAGGCAGTGGCCAAGAGTCAAGACTGACTTCAAGGTACCAAAAAATAAAAAATAAAGGAAGATTCAGTTTATTGAATGTTTTATAATGTTTATGATGTGCTAGGATGGAGTCTTCTGTAAACTGCTGTCCCCCAGGAGGTTGGAACGAAAGTCTCAACATCTCCTGCTGGTGCGGCTTAGGAAATTTGCTTTTGTACCAGGCATAATATTTCCATTGGTCACAATCACATAAGGAGTGCACATCAAGGAGCTAGGGTACTTCTACACACCTGGCTAGAAACTGGCCGAACTTGAGTGAGTACCCAAATGCAAATCTGATTAATGCCACCTTACCATATTGCATTATTCTGGCTGGGAAGTGAATTCAGCTGGATCCTTCTGCACCATAAAACAAGGAGTTCAACATCAATATCTCTTATTCTTTCAGCACTTATTTAATTAAGAACATTTCTCTTTTACCAATTGAAAACTGAAAGCCAAAGCCAGACACCAGCTGCAGATAAAATGAATGGGAAAATGATAACAGATGTGGTTGTACAATCAAGGGCAAGACTCACATAAGACCCATGAAGCTGGGCATTAAATCAGAGTTAAGCAGCATGTCACCCTTTATTTCCGATGTTGTCATGTCGCAAGGCCCATCGTCCCTCACCACTGACCAAGGGCTGCTGGAAATTGGATGTCGACACTACCTGAAGTGCCTCCTGTTGCTCATCCCTCCGTCTCTCTGAAGAACCAGCATTCCATACTGGGGGCAATAATATTAAAAGCCTACTTTTTTACCTACCACCCACCTAGAAAAGTGCCTCATGAAGATTATGGTCTTCATAACTAGGTTATCAGAAAGAGTGTCTTGGACCCATTTGTGAAAAGTATTCTCTTTGTAATTGTATCTTTGGGTGTTGTCTGTGTCTCACAAGATTGGGGCAGTGGAGATTTAAAGTAAAACAGCAGCAGCAGCATGCTGATATCACACCTCGTTCTCTCACATCTCTCATCCTCCCTTCATCGCTTCCAGACAAGGCAGCGAAAGTCCTTCATGAAGGACTGGATGAGGGACAATAAAATGAAGATCAGTCCAGACAGAAGTCCAGTAAGCGGATGGTCAATTGTCTATCCAGGTAAATGATGTCCAGTTTATATTGCAAAAGATTGCATTATCTCACTCCAAGCCAGCCTTCCTGGAGTTGTTGGGCCTGCCATACGAATATGACTACAACCTCCCACAATTCCCAGCCGCCATGGCATTCTGGGAGTTATAATCCAGTGCATTTGGAGGGTGACAGGCTGGGAAAAGCTGATTACTGGACCTGCATATGAAAGAGACTTAGCCAAATGTTACATCAGCAGCAGCAGCAACAAAAACCTGGAGTGGCACGAAAGAGAAACAGATTCAATGAAACTTAATAATGTGTTTTAATTTACAAGCAAATCTCATCTGGGAATGGACAAAGAAAGAATCAGTTAAATTACTGTACAATGATTGGTTTTTGACCTGCCTGTTTTTACCCCACCTACCACAGGGGTACCCAGAAAAGGTATTTACTTCCAGACCAGGTGTAATTTCTTCTTTTATCTTCCATGGTCTCTCTCCTAAAGGCCCTGCCAGGAAAGGTTTTCTAAGAAAAGACAGCTCTGGTCTGCATTTTGCCCAACAATAAATCCAGAATCATTTCTCACCCTCTCTGACAAACATTGGTTTCCCATTTCCTCCTCCACCACTTTGGAAATCCACGGAATTTCAATTTGGCTTTTAAGTTTCCCATTAGGAATGTTGTACATGTTCAGAAAACCACTACATTATTTTTAATGTGTTTCTGTTTGCACTTCTGGTCAGGGACTGTAATAAAAATATATATATTCAATATATTCACTACTTTATATAGTTTTAAAGGGGAACCTTTAATGGGAGGATGAAGCTGTCATTGCTCACAAATTGTGATGGCTCCACTGAACCTCCATGTTCAGGAGCAGGATACCATTGAATTCCAGGTCACTAGGCAAAACCTGTGAGAGTTGGCAGTTGCCTTCGTGGAGTTTGTCCTGTGGCCTTCCTGGACACATTCATAATTCTGCAGAACTTTTTACAATTGTATCAGATACTCCATGGTCTAGAAAAATATAACTTGGAAAAATAAATACCAAATAAATAAGTACAGTATACATTATTTTAAGTTAGAACTTACATTGCAACATTTTCTGGGCATAAATATTTACATGCAACATTTTCTGGGCATAAATATTTATCCACTTTTGTCCAAAAAACTCAGATGTACAGTACATATTTATTCTCTGAATACTTTTTTAACAAACAAGCTTGAAGGAACCCAGAACACTTCTTGACCCTGACTCGCAGTACGTCTTGTTACTAAATCTGAGTTTAGTAGTGGGAAAACAAATTATCTACAAAACCAGTATTTTGGAAAAATATGAGTCCTGTCTAAAAAAAGAACCAGTTCCCGTTTTTTAAAAAACTAACATTAACCCCTAGCTATAATTAGAAAGGGACTCCAATCCCTTGATGTTATAAAGGAAACTGCCATAAAGCATTATTCATATTTTAAATACAAATACAATACTTTATTTTTTTGGTATGGAATGCAAATGCATTCAAGACGAGTAGTATTTGTCCTCCTCCTTGCTTTCCTAAAACTTCCAAGAACTCCCAAAGTCTGCAACAATCACAACATATAAAGACAGACTAAGGTAATCAAAGAACAATACAAGACCACAGGCATGCTTAATCAATTAAGCATAATTAATTAATAATCAATCAATCAATTAATCAATCAACAATAACAATGACCCCTCCCAGCCAAGATACAGACCGTGCTGTATTTACAAATCTACAAGCTGTGATGGCTTTTATATGTGAATGGGATATCTCTTACCACCAACAGGACTTTGTTGTGCCCCACGATGCGAGTGCCCAAGGAGCAAACACCAGGCGTGTGTCTTGTTTAGCGCCAGGCGCTGCTGAGCACCTGAGCAACTCAGGAATTACATCCGTCGCTCTGCTTTCTTGCTGTCTTTAGTTGATCAGCGCATCGTGTTTCAGGGAGAGAACATCTGTGGCTGTGTGCACTGCACTGCGATTTGCAAATAGAACATTTGCATGCTTTTGATTCAGTATGATGTTTTCTCAAGTCTGTTTCACCTGCTCTGTACCCTGTGCCTGTTCCTATTTTCAAAAGAAGTCAACTGTTCCACCTGTAGCCGGTGGGAGCTAAAGAGAGCTATAGACGGAGCTTTGTGGGGATAGACGTGACTTTAGGTCCAACGGGCCATTCGGGTTAGCCTGGTAGTTCGGATTGGAGTCACAGAGCACAGGTTGCAAAGCATTGATCCTGAAGGACAACTGCCTTCCAATCATCTCTGCTTTAGGTGATCTCATGAAACTTTTTATTAAAGGTTTTGTTTCAATTGGACTTTGAAGAAGCTGGATAGAAAGCGCATTGACACTTTCAGAATTTAGGGTTGGAGAAAACTCCTGAGAACTGCATGGACAGCCAAGGAAACAAACAAATGAAGCACTGAACAAAGAGTTCTCACTCAAGGTACAAATGACCAGGCTCAAATTATCCTACGTCAGACACATTTTGCAAAGACCCAGCTCTCTGGAAAAGTCTCTAATGCTGGGAAAAGTGGAAGGAAAGAGAAGGAAAGGGCAACCAGCAGCAAGGTGGATAGACTCAGTTACAGTAGCAATGGGTACATCTGAAGGACCAGGTTAGGGACAGATCTTCATGGAGAAAATCAATCTAGGTGGTCACTAAGAGCTGACACTGACTTGATGGTACCTAATCATAACCGTCAATTTGTTTCAAATAATCCAGTTTCTTTCACACTCACCAAAGACCGAAATACTGATACTGTGAGAGGAGATTATCTCAGCAAGGCACATTGAATGGCTAGGACATTTGGGGATATTTTTTTCAAAGAAGTGGCCACACACACGTACCTTCTCCCAGTCCCCTCTTGTTCAAGTATCTGGGTGAACAGATGTATGTCAGTTTAAAACGGGTAGGCTATCTTACTTTGTGGAAACAGGGGACATGGTCCTCCCTTCTCCGTGTAACAGCTCCACCTTTGCAGAGATCTGGAGCTCAACTTTTGTCACTCTCGCCCCAGATTCCCTTCTGCATTTTGCTCTGTTTAGAAGTTTTCATGATTTAGCAGCACCAAACTGAGCCTTCTTGGGCTTCCTATCCTCCTTGAGGGATTCCCACTGATGAGCGGGCTGAGACCCAGCACAAACTGTTTCTGGAACTAAGAGGGTTTGCAAAATCAGACGGTGATTTTGGTGCTGCGCTTTGTGATTTGAAATCTGAAATATAAACTGGGAGAAGACAAAAGGATCTCGGCTCAAATATTATGCCACAGGCAGGCAGTAATCCTTGACCTTTGGGCTTGCTGACTGAGCTTATGGGAGAGTAGTCCAAGCACTTGGAGTGGACCAGATTGCCTATTCCTGCCTTTTGGGAAGTCTGCTAAGGTGCAAGTAAAACCTTCAAAATCTCTCTCTCCCTTTAAGGGAGGGCCCAGAGTAAGTGTACCTTTGTTCCTCTGCTTAAGTGAACAAATCTCCACAGTTGATGATTGTTACTTACTGTCTACTCAATGAACTGTTGTTACTACCTAATTTTGATGCACCTCAATTTTTGATGTGTGTGATTTAATGTCTTTCTGAAATGCAGTTGAGTTTGAGGAAGTCATACGTAGATTTTTCTGAAATGCCATAGAGAGTTCAAGTGTTGGAGCCACACGCACAGTTCAGAAGAACTGAAATACTGAGTAACTTGGAGGCAACATTTTCAGTAGTTGTATGTCTTCTGTCACTTTAACTTGATAAAATGCAGGAGGGGATTGCCATTGTTTTCCCCTGTGCAGTATGAAATTATGCCTTTGCTGTTGTCACTAAAGTGATCATCCACCTCCAGCATCTTCCTATACCTCTGCTGCCCAATATAAATGCCTGCTTGCTCTAGCTGGTCAGCTGGGAGTATATACAGTGCACTCGGAAAGTATCCAGACCCCCTTCACTTTTTTAAATTTTGTTATGTTGCAGCCTGATATTACAATCGTTCAAATTCATTTTTTTCTCATTAATCTACACTCAGTACCCCATAATGACAAAGTGAAAACAGAATTTTAGAAATGTCTGTAAATCCAGACCCCCTTCACTTTTTTAAATTTTGTTATGTTGCAGCCTGATATTACAATCGTTCAAATTCATTTTTTTCTCATTAATCTACACTCAGTACCCCATAATGACAAAGTGAAAACAGAATTTTAGAAATGTCTGTAAATTTATTAAAAAGGAAAAACTGAAATATCACATGTACTTAAGTATTCAGACCCTTTACTCAGTACTTTGTTGAAGCACCTTTGGGAGCAATTACAGCCTCGAGTCTTTTGTGGTATGACACAAGCTTTGCACACCTGGATTGGGGGATTTTCTGCCAATCTTCTTTGCAAATCATCTCAAGCTCAATCAGGTTGGATGGGGACCATCAGTGGACAACCATTTCCAGGTCTCTCCAGAGATGTTCGATTGGGTTCAAGTCAGGGCTCTGGCTGGCCCACTATAGGACATTCACA